AACGCAGGAGTGGCGTCGGGACAAGTCTCTGAATGTCCTTGAGAGGCCCAGCCAGAGCCTGGACTTGAACCCGATCTAACATCTCTGGAGAGACCTGAAAACAGCTGTGCAGCGACGCTTCCCATCCAACCTGACTGAGCTTGAGAGGATCTGCAGAGAAGAATGGGAGAAACTCCACAAATACAGGTGTGCCAAGCTTGTAGTGTCATACCCAAGAAGACTAGATGCTGTAATCGCTGCCAAAGGTGCTCCAACAAAGTACTGAATAAAGGGTCTGAATACTTATGTAAATGTTATATTTCCATTTTGTATGAATTTTCAGACATTTCTAAAAAACTTGCTTTGTCATTTTGGGGTATCGTGTGTAGGTTGATGAGGGGAAAAAATAAATAAATAAATTTTAGATTAAGGCTGTAACGTAACAAAATGTGGATACAGTCAAGCGGTCTAAATGCTTTCCGAATGCACTGTATGTATGTGTGTATGTATGTATGTATGTATGTATGTATGTATGTGTGTATATATATATATATATATATATATATATATATATAATATATGTACATATACAGTACCAGTCAAAAGTTTGGACACACCTACTCATTCCAGGTTTTTTTTTATTTAAAACTATTTTCTACATTGTAGAATAATAGTGAAGACATCAAAACTATGAAATAACACATATGGAATCATGTAGTAACCAAAAAAGTGTTAAACAAATCAAAATGTATTTTATATTTGAGATTCTTCAAAGTAGCCACTCTTTGCCGTGATGACAGCTTTGCACACTCTTGGCATTCTCTCAACCAGCTTCATGAGGTAGTCACCTGGAATGCATTTCAATTAACAGATGTGCCTTTTTCAAAGTTAATATGTGGAATTTCTTTCCTTCTTAATGTGTTTGAGCCAAATCAGTTGTGTTGTGACAAGGTAGGGGTGGTATACAGACCAAGTCCATATTATGGCAAGAACAGCTCAAATAAGCAAAGAGAAACGAAAGTCCATCATTACTTTATGACATGAAGGTCAGTCAATCCTGAAAATTTCAAGAACTTTGAACGTTTCTTCAAGTGCAGTCGCAAAAACCATCAAGCACTATGATGAAACTGTTTCTCATGAGGACCACCACAGGAATGGAAGACCCAGAGTTAATTAGAGTTACCAGCCTCAGAAATTGCATCCCAAATAAATGCTTCACAGAGTTCAAGTAACAGACACGTCTCAACATCAACTGTTCAGAGGCGACTGCAGGAATCAGGCCTTCATGGTTGAATTGCTGCAAATAAACCACTACTAAAGGACACCAATAAGAAGAAGAGACTTGCTTGGGCCAAGAAACACGAGCAATGGACATTAGACCGGTGGAAATCTGTCCTTTTGGTCTGATGAGTCCAAATTTGAGATTTTTGGTTCCAACCGCCGTGTATTTGTGAGATGCAGAGTAGGTGAACGGATGATCTCCGCCTGTGGTTCCCACCTTGAAGCATGGAGGAGGAGGTGTGATGGTGCTTTGCTGGTGACAATGTCTGTGATTAATTTTTCGAATTTAAGGCACACTTAACCAGCATGGCTACCACAGCATTCTGCAGCGATTCGCCAGCGCTTAGTGGGACTATCATTTGTTTCTCAACAGGACAATGACCCAACACACCTCCAGGATATGTGTAAGGGATATTTGACCAAGAAGGAGAGCGATGGAGTTCTGCATGAGATGACCTGGCCTCCACAATCACCCGACCTCAACCCAATTGAGATGGTTTGGGTTGAGTTGGACTGCAGAGTGAAGGAAAAGCAGCCAACAAGTGCTCAGCATATGTGGGAACTCCTTCAAGACTGTTGGAAAAGCATTCATCACGAAGCTGGTTGAGAGAATTTCAAAAGTGTGTAAAGCTTTCATCAAGGCAAAGGGTGGCTACTTTGAAGAATCTAAAATAAATGTTGATTTGTTTAACACTTTTTTGGTTACTACATGATTCCATATGTGTTATTTCATAGTTTTGATGTCTTCACTATTATTCTACAAGGTAGAAAATAGTAAAAAGAAAGAAAAACCCTTGAATGAATAGGTGTGTCCAAACTTTTGACTGGTACTATATGTGTGTGTATATATTTAATATAATTTTGTGTATGGACAGTATATGAATAGAAAAGGTTTGTACAGCAGTAGTTATATAGGATGAGTCTTGACTAGAATAAAGTATATACATATAAAGTGGGTAAAACAGTATGTAAACATTATTTAAGTAACCGGTGTTCAGTGACTCTATGTACATAGGGCAGCAGTCTCTAAGGTTCAGGGCAGGGTACTGGGCGGGGACTGGCTAGTGCTGACTGTTTAACAGTTTGATTGCCTGTGGACGGAAGCTGTTAATCAGTCTCTCGGTCCCAACTTTGATGCACCTGTACTGTCTCCGCCTTCTAGATGGTAGCGGAGTGAACAGGCTGTGGATCAGGTGGCTGAGGTCTTTGATCTCCTTGGTCTTCCTGTGACACCGGGTGCTGTAGATGTCCTGGAGAGCAGGCAGTGTGACCCCAGTGATTCGTTGGGCTGACCAGACAACCCTCTGGAGAGCCCTGCGGTTGCGGACGGTGCAGTTGCCGTACCAGGCGGTGATACAGCCCGACAGAATGCTCTCGATGATGCGTCTGTAGAAGTTTGTGAGGGTTTTAGGTTCTTCTTCAGCCTCCTGAGGTTGAAAAGTCGCTGTTGCATCTTCTTCACCACGCTGTCGGTGAAGAGGGACCATTTCAGGTTGTACATGATAGGCTGTACCGTTTGTACGTGTGCCCACTGCCAGGGTGTGTGTGTGTGTGTGTAGGCATGCAGTTAAAAAAATGTTAAGTTAAAGTATATTCTAATAATCTACTAGCAGTCTAGTATCTGTAGCCATGACTTCAAACCTTCAGTAAAACTCAGACCTGTCTCTAGAGCTTTTAAAGTATTAACCATGGCAGTTCATATTCTTGGTGAATTGGTTTGGATTCTGGAATTATATGGACTAGCTAATTCTGGTGAATTTGTCCCATCCATCCCCTCACTGGGACGTTTGACACTGACAGGTCCTAGGACAGCAGTGTTTCCCACTGTATTCATTTAGCTGTGACACACCGCCACTGCTAAATTGTTGCCACCACTAGGGCTGTGACGGTCATGGAATTTTGGATGACTGTAATTGGCCAGCCAAATGACCGCGGTCACCGAAATAACTGTTTGAATAGTAACGCGTACACTCTTGACCGCATGTGCTGCCATAGAAATAGAATGAATAGAACGGCATTGGGATACTTTTTGAAGAGGTAGGGTTTCAGAAGTTTTCGGTAGATGGGCAGGGACTCTGCTGTCCTAGCTTACCTGCCAGAATCATATCAGGATTATTTGCATTAATAGAGTGGGCATTTGTTTTGCATACTCCATCACGTGTGCTACAGAAACACAGCTAACCAAACAACAGTGCTAGGTGAATGTGCACTTGAATTAAAGGGTAGGTACATAAAGAAATAAAAATAAATCACAGATGTTTCCCAGACCTCAAAAGTGGTCTCCTGATGTGGTTTTGGCATTGTTGTGTAGCCTACCTGAAAACCTGAAAAAACAGGGGGAAATCCGAAACCTGAACACCACCAACTCACCAATTGCTCAGAAACATGGTTGGATCAAACACAGTAGAGTTCAGTACAGAGCTGTTGCCTTTCATTCACTGCTGACTAGTTTGCATTGCTCATGCTTTCTCTTCATCCTTTCTGTGCACTGCATTGAACTAGTAAAATATGGCTTATGGCTGTTTTAAAGGGCACAGTCTGCACTTTAATCCAGTCTTGAAGAGAGTAGACAGAGAGACATTCCAGACCTGACAGCTGATTTATAGACACCAACATGTGGGAGGGAACTCTCCCCTGAGCTGAAAGAGCTGGAACAAGAACATTTAAAACCACACTGCATGTTTAAGCAGGTGAACACAACAGAACAGGGGAAAGTGAACATTCATAAACAAGAGACATTGCCTGGTGCCTACGGTTGATGCCATTAAACCACAAGCTGAATGAATGGGAGTTTTTTATTTTTTATGAAAGTGTTTTGGGATGAAAGAAGGAAAGACATCCTGTGTCTAGAGTCTGAACTCCTGTACCACTGAGAGTGGCGTGCTGTGCTCACTGGTGCCCCTGTTGCTTTTCCTGTTTGGCCTGTGTGTTCAGTGGACTTCCTGTCTCCGGTGACAGTGGCCTCATTCCTAGATAACAGGGTTAAGGTCCTGTGGCCACAGAAGCCCTCGCCAGTCAGCAAACACAGTCAGCAAAAAACAGTCAGCAAACATTGGCACTGCAACAAACATCTAAGACCTGAGGTAACCGCTCTTTGGTTGGCTGGCTAGGTAGGCTACCTCCTTACAAACATTGCATTTATGTCAAAGAGGCTGTCTTGTAGTTGATCACGGAGGGATTTCACCTACATAATGGCTAGCAGTCACAACTGATGCTTGTGATGAAAGGAGAGGAAAGGCAAGGAAGGGTCAGTCAAAGGCTGAACAGCGTGATATGGATTCAAAAATAGATTTTAATTGGAGCAATTCAAATTCTCATGTACAATCAGCCTATGGATATTTTGTTTGATGTTCTGGCATTTATAGCTGAGTAGGCCAATCTTCCATACCCTGTTTATGATGCAGTGGACTTGATATGCTGCAGGAATCCCGCAGTAATGGAAAATGATATCCCATTAGATCCTGTTGGATCACTCCTCTACACTGTCACCTGTGGTATGTCCAGAAATTCTTATTGAAGATCATTTAAGGAAGTTCCAAATCAGCCTCAGTAATGTGTCTTGATGACCTTGTGAAATATGCAGACATTCTCCTAACTCAGTAATCATTGTGCTTGTCGTCTCTCTCCCTGACAGAACGAAGATGCCTGAGGCAGGGAGCTAAAGGCCTCACCGGAGCAGAGTGCGTGCTAGAGCCAGGGGCTGGGGCCTGACCAGAGGCCCCTGAGAGGGGTGCAGGACCATGGGGGATCCTGGAGGCTTCACCACCACAGGGGAGAGGGTGAACCCTGCCCACGTCATGTTTGACCGCTTCGCCCAGGCCTCCACCTGTAAGGGCACGCTCAAGGCCTTCCAGGAGCTCTGTGACCATCTGGATCTCAAGCCCTGCGAGTACCGGGTCTTCTACCACAAGCTCAAGTCCAAGCTCAACTACTGGAAGGCCAAGGCGCTCTGGGCTAAGCTAGACAAGCGGGCCGGCCAGAAGGAGTATAAGAAGGGACGAGCATGTGCCAACTCTAAGGTACAGTATGCAATGATGTGACTTTTTTTCTGTCTCAGATCCTTGTTCAAAGTACCTCAGAGAGAATTGTTCTGTATATAATAGGGTTGGGCCGATATCCACATTGTAATATTGTCTATTTGCCCTTGTTGAATATTGTAATAAAAAATATATTAATAAATACTAAATAAATGATATATACTTATAAACTATATTTCGCGATAATCTATATATCGCCAATATTCAATCATATTTTTATATCAGCCAACTCTAGTATATGAGACATTTTCCCCTTCCTCAGTGTCTGATCATCGGGGCGGGACCATGTGGCCTGCGGACGGCTATCGAGCTGGGCTTCCTGGGGGCCAAGGTGGTGCTGCTGGAGAAGAGAGATGCCTTCTCCAGGAACAACGTGCTCCACCTGTGGCCCTTCACCATCCAGGACCTCAGGGGCCTCGGGGCAAAGAAATTCCACGGAAAGTTCTGCGCCGGAGCCATCGACCATATCAGTGAGTGGATAAGACTATCCTACTTCCATTTCCTACTCTCTGTCTTTTAGAAAAGGGTTTAAATGATTTCATGTTTTACTGTGTACAGCATTATCATATATTAGGAGAAGACTTCTGGTGCTTTCCAGGACTATCGATCAGCTGGAACATTGCAGTCTTTTTGGTTGTTGAAGCTAATAAATGTTCTCCTCTAATCTGTCTGACTCTCTGTGCAGGTATCCGTCAACTCCAGCTGATGCTGCTGAAGGTGGCCCTGCTCCTGGGCATCGAGATCCACGTCAACGTGGAGTTCAAGGGTCTCATCGAGCCCCCCGAGGACCAGGAGAACGAGAGTAAGACCCGTGTAAAGTGACTGCTCTATAGACCCCTGTCACATGACTGCATTAAGACCCCTGTCATATGACATGACTGCTCTACAGCCAGACATTATGGGAACAAGGAAGGGCCATATGTTACTGTACTGTTACTGTATGCCACAGTGCTAACAGAGAGCTCTCCCTCATCCTCCATGGTTGTCAGTGAAGGAAAAAGTCAAATCATATGCTAAATAATACAACGTTACATGTCTTGTCATACTTATTTTTCCCATGGTGTGTTTTTGCAGGTATAGGGTGGAGGGCTGAGGTCCATCCCAGGACACACCCAGTCAACGAGTTGGAGTTTGATGTCATCATCGGTGCAGACGGAAGAAGAAACACGCTGGCAGGTAAAAAGCAACACGTGGTTCAACATGAGTCTCTCTCTCTCTCTTTCTTTCTTTCTTTCTTTCTTTCTTTCTTTCTTTCTTTCTTTCTTTCTTTCTTTCTTTCTTTCTTTCTTTCTGTCTTTCTTTCTTTCTTTCTTTCTTTCTTTCTTTCTTTCTTTCTTTCTTTCTTTCTTTCTTTCTTTCTTTCTTTCTTCCTGCCTCACTCTATCCGTTTTCAGAGAGCACTCCTCCGTGGCCTCTCACTGGAGCGGAGCAGGAACCTGTTTCCTGTATGAGCTAACATCCCTCACAAGCAGCATTAGGAGCCCTGTAGTGTGTGGACTGCTCTGACCCCTCTCCTCTGCTGCTGCTGGTGCCTGCTGAAACCACTTTAGAGATTCACTCTAGAGGGGAGGGGGAAGCAGTTTCCCTCAGGGCTACGCAGTAGTCACTGCATACAGTGTCCGTACTCAGCCCGCAATCTTACATGAGATTATTAAAAAGTATTGCAGTTACATTGATAGTCAGTCAATGACAGTGTGCATCAAAGCCTAACAAGCACCACCTTTTTTCTCCCGTCTCTTTTACAAACATGTGAGTAGTGTGTAATACAAGGCAATGTTCTCTTCATTTCTGAACCTAACAAAGAATGCTGACATATTCACTGTCTACATAATGACTCTGACCCCAGTCTAACGTTTACATCCTGTCTCCAAACAGGGTTCAGGAGGAAGGAGTTCCGAGGCAAGTTGGCCATCGCCATCACTGCCAACTTTATCAACAGGAACACCACGGCCGAGGCCAAGGTGGAGGAGATCAGCGGAGTGGCCTTCATCTTCAACCAGAAGTTCTTCCAGGACCTCCGGGAAGCCACGGGTCAGTCATTTATCCTTAGGGAGACCTAACATGTAATAACCCTCGTTATAAGATGTTATAAAGGCTCATAGGTGCTTATAACAACTTATAAACATTGTAACTCTAGGCTTTAAGTAAAGTTGTATAGATTGTTATAGATTTAGAGCCTATGGATTAGGTGATACACAAAAAAAAGTAATAGCTGATGAGCACATACAGTGTCTTCAGAAAGTATTCATACCCCTTGACTTATTCCACATTTAGTGTTACAGACTGAATTCAAAATTGATTAAATATATTTTTTTTCTCACCCATCTACACACATGTTTTTATAAATGTTAGCTAATTTATTGAAAATTAATTACAGATATCTAATTTAGATAAGTATTCACACCCCTGAGTCGATACATGTTAGAATCACCTTTGGCAGCGATTACAGCGTTGAGTCTTTCCGGGTAAGTCTCTAAGAGCTTTGCACACCTGGATTGTACAATATTTGCCCATTATTATTTTCGAAATTCTTGCTAGACAACCATTTTCAAGTCTTGCCAGCAGATCAAGTCAAAACTAACTCGGAATGACGGAACATTCACTGTCTTCTTGGTAAGCAACTCCAGTGTACACTGAATGTACAAAACATTAAAGGACATTTTCCAGCACCACCCCCAACATCAACATATGTGAAAATTGAGCATTTCTAGATAGAAGATATCTAAAAGATAGAGAAAAGTGTTTCCAATGACATCATCAAAATCAAATCACATTTTTATTTGTCACGTGCTGAATACAATAGGTATAGACCTTACTGTGAAATCAGTGTGCATTGTGTGATTTTTAACCAATTATGAGTAGGCATTGCCTACTAATTGTCTCCTAATTGGTGGTTGATGTCATTGGAAACACTTATCTTTACTACAAAACATAGAAACGTGCCATTTTCACATATGTTGATGTTGGGGTGATGCTGGAGATGATGAATATGAAGTTGAACATTTTTGAAATGTCCCTTTAAGAACACTTTCCTAATATTGAGTTGGACAAAGTTTTGAAAGCATTCCACAGGGATGCTGGCCCATGTTGACTCAATGCTTCCCACAGTTGTCAGATTGGCTGGATGTCCTTTGGGTGATGGACCATTCTTGATACACATGGGAAACTGTTGAGCGTGAAAAACCCAGCAGCGTTGCAGTTCTTGACACACTCAAACCGGTGCGCTTGGCACCTACTACCATACCCCGTTCAAAGGCACTTCAATATTTTGTCTTGCCCATTCACCCTCTGAATGGCACACATACACAATCCATGTCTCAATTGTCTCAAGGCTTAAAAATCATTTTTTTACCTGTTTCCTCCCATTAATCTACACTGATTTGAAGTGAATTTAACAAGTGGCATCAATAAGTGTTCATAGCTTTCACCTGAATTCACCTGGTCAGTCTATGTCATGGAAAGAGCATTCATAATGTTTTGTATACTCAGTTTATATTTGGCCTTGTGTTATATTTTAATGTCCTGCTGAAAGGTGAATTCATCTCCCAGTGTCTGGTGGAAAGCAGACTGAACCATGTTTTCCTCTAGGATTTTGCCTGTGCTTAGCTCCATTCCGTTAATTTTTTATCCTGAAAAACTCCCCATTCCTTAACGATTACAAGAATACCAACTATACCACCACTATGCTTGAAAATATGGGGAGTGGTACTCAGTAATGTGTTGTATTGGATATGCGCCAAACATAACACTTTATATTTGCAGTATTACTTTAGTGCCTTGTTGCAAACAGGATGCATTTTTTATTCTCTACAGGCTACCTTCTTTTCACTTAGGTGAAATTAGGTTAGTATTGTGGAGTAACTACAATGTTGTTGAGCAGTGTATCACCTAGGAACTGACAGTTTTATGCCGCCATGCATTTTCTATCTGCATGGTTTATCTATGGATTAGAGAAAAGGTAAACAAACAAAGAGGTACTTCCTGGTTGGGAGCTGAAATCTGTTCACATTTCTCAATTAAACATTTTGATCCCATGCCATGAGAGCTCGGCGCTGAGCTGGCACCGTCTATATGGGCCTTTAGTTTTGTCTCCTGGGTCGTGTAATCGTCGAGGTTGTCCTCATTCCCCTAACAAAGACAACCAGAGAGACTGTCAATAGAGGAGCCATAGGAGCAGCTATAGCCATAGAAAAAACATTGGTTTACCAAAAGTAAATAACAAAACTCTCTCTTTCTATTGATTCCGTAGGAGTTGACCTGGAAAACATTGTCTACTACAAGGATGACACGCACTACTTTGTCATGACTGCCAAGAAACAGAGCCTGCTGGAGAAGGGAGTCATTCTGCATGTGAGTGATCAAAGGGACGATCGCAGAGGGGGAGTGAGACATATCTGGAGCTGTCTCTCTCGTACACACACAAACACACACACACACACACACACACACACACACACACACACAAACACACTTTATCCCTCTGTGTGCCTGCTCCATGCCTAAGGACCAAGCCAAAACTGTGCCAGGAACAAACCACCAGCTCAACCACATTTAATGAGTTTGTGTCCCACTCCCAACACATCACTTCAGAACACTGCTGTTTCCTTTGACTAGACTGGGCACTTTCCACAGGAAATCAGTCACAAGCTCTTAGGACATTAGGACCTATTTTAGAAGTTCAGCTTTCATGTTCCAATAAAAGTTGCCAGTGCTTTTCTATCTCACTTTGAGATTAAAGCCTTGTGGGGGAAAAAAAGTGTTTGGTAACGTTTTGCAAATCCAATCAAAATCGTTCCGAAGGCATTCGAGTAGTTGGGACGTGTTACCCTTTTGGTAATTGGATAGGATTTTTAAAATTACCACCGAATGTGAGTTTTCATCAGCAGTCATAATCAGGCCAAAACATAACCAGACCCTGTAGGTCCTGTGCTGGGTCGTAGTCATTAGCCACCAAAGTGAAGAAAATGGACTGGGACAGGGAGGGTTTTAATTTCAGTTGCAAAAGTTTTGCTACAAGTGTACACTAATGAATATGACCCTGATGAGTTGGGCCAGGCTGTTGGCTGAAGGAGGACGTGAGAGTGGACACACTGTGTCCTGTGTTTCAGACTTCAGTGTTTTCACGCCTGCCAAGTTTGCATAATCCCTAATGAGGGGTGTGTGTTTGTTGCAATGGGGGTGTGAGGGGACAGAGCCCTGCTGCTCACACTCTCCAGACAGGCCTCCCCTAGTTACCCCCAGGCCCCTATACAGTCATTTACTTATACAGTAACAGACCAGTGTGTTTGAGTGAGCTAGGAGAGACTGACACAGGCAGGGCATGCTGTACAGAAAGGGGTGGTGCATAGACTAACTCTTCTTCAGGGTATTTTTCCATCCAAAATCAAGACCCATTACTGAGCTGATTACAGTACTTGCACACCCATAAACCTTTGGTGGGTTTTCTACAAGATGACTTACTTCAAAGCAAGGTCCTTTTATAGCAATGGAAATCACTCTCTAGTCCCTTTTTAATGCTCCATCCTGCCCCTGGGAAAGGGGAGGTTGGCAGACAGGCAGGCAGACAGACAGGCAGGCAGGCAGGGGAGTGCTGGGTCGAGTCCACACTGTTCCACCCAGCACCATGAATCAGAGAACAACACCCTTTCAGATCCTCTGTCTGCTCCACCTTCACACCCATCCAGCTCACCAGTCAGCCTGGCACTGCCGGCCCAGCCTAGCCAGGGAAAGTCAAGGGAAAAGAATGTGCCTCTCACCGCCCTCTTCTAAAACACAGTCATTTAAAGCGTGCCTTGATTTGATGCTACATTCCGGAGACCTATAGGAGCCTCGCTACATACACACAGTACCAGAGAGTTAGGTATAATAGACTATACAGTGCCTTGCAAAAGTATTCATCCCCCTTGGCGTTTTTCCTATTTTGTTGCATTACAGCCTGTAATTTAAATGGATTTTTATTTGGATTTCATGTAATGGACATACACAAAATAGTCCAAATTGGTGAAGTGAAATAAAAAAAATAACTTGTTTCAAAAAATTCTAAAAAATAAATTACGGAAAAGTGGTGCGTGCATATGTATTCACCCCCTTTGCTATGAAGCCACTAAATAAGATCTGGTGCAACCAATTACCTTCAGAAGTCACATAATTAGTTAGATTGCACACATTTAATTAGTTAAATGAAGTCCACCTGTGTGCAATCTAAGTGTCACATGATCTGTCACATGATCTCAGTATATATACACCTGTTCTGAAAGGCCCCAAAGTCTGCAACACCACTAAGCAAGGGGCACCACCAAGCATGCGGCACCATGAAGACCAAGGAGCTCTCCAAACAGGTCAGGGACAATGTTGTGGAGAAGTACAGATCAGGGTTGGGTTATAAAAAAATATCCGAAACTTTGAACATCCCATGGAGCACCATTAAATTATTTTAAAAAATTGAAAGAAATGGCACCACAACAAACCTGCCAAGAGAGGGCCACCAACCAAAACTGACAGACCAGGCAAGGAGGGCAGTAATCAGAGAGTCTACAAAGAGACCAAATATAACCCTGAAGGAGCTGCAAAGCTCCACAGCGGAGATTGGAGTATTTGTCCATAGACAACATTAAGCCGTACACTCCACAGAGCTGGGCTTTACGGAAGAGTGGCCAGAAAAAAGCAATTGCTTAAAGAAAAAAATAAGCAAACACGTTTGGTGTTCGCCAAAAGGCATGTGGGAGACTCCCCAAACATATGGAAGAATGTACTCTGGTCAGATGAGACTAAAATTGAGCTTTTTGGCCATCAAGGAAAACGCTATGTCTGGCACAAACCCAACACCTCTCTTCACCCAGAGAACACCATCCCCACAGTGAAGCATGGTGGTGGCAGCATCATGCTGTGGGGATGTTTTTCATCAGCAGGGACTGGGAAACTGGTCAGAATTGAAGGAATGATGGATGGCGCTAAATACAGGGAAAGTCTTGAGGGAAACCTGTTTCAGTCTTCCAGAGATTTGAGACTGGGACGGAGGTTCACCTTCCAGCAGGACAATGACCCTAAGCATACTGCTAAAGCAACACTTGAGTGGTTTAAGGGAACACATTTAAATGTCTTGGAATGGCCTAGTCAAAGCCCAGACCTCAATCCAATTGAGAATAAGTGGTATGACTTAAAGATTGCTGTACACCAGCAGAACCCATCCAACTTGAAGGAGCTGGAGAAGTTTCGCCTTGAAGAATGGGGGGGGGGGGGATTGATTAGTTATGCACGCACAAGTTTTCTGTTTTTTTGTCATATTTCTTGTTTGTTTGGCAAGAAAAAATATTTTGCATCTTCAAAGTGGTAGGCATGTTGTGTAAATCAAATGATGCAAACCCAAAAAAAATCCATTTTAATTCCAGGTTGAAGGCAACAAAATAGGAAAAATGCCAAGGGGGGTGAATACTTTCGCAAGCCACTGTAGTGGTGTTTAGATTGTTATAGTAGGAATGGAAGACATTTAAATGGACCTATATTTATTAAATTCAATATTACTTCAGAATGACATTGGCTTGATTTGGAATGAAAGTACTGCTTTGGTGGTGCAGGCTAACCTCTGTGTAAAATATATCCTTTTCCAAATACAACTTCATCGATGTCATGCCCCATTCTCTGTGCATGACAGGCCATGTTCCATCTCTTATGTGTCTCTTAGTCCTCCAGTCATCTGAGCCATCTAACCTCTTCATGTCTCTCCTGGTTTCCTCCAGGATTATGCAGACACAGAGATGCTGCTGTCCAGGGCTAACGTGGACCAGGAGGCCCTTCTCTCCTATGCCCGCGAGGCCGCAGACTTCTCCACTAACCACCAGCTGCCCACTCTGGACTTTGCCATCAACCACTACGGACAGCCCGACGTGGCCATGTTCGACTTCACCTGCATGTACGCCTCAGAGAATGCAGCGCTAGTGCGCCAACGCAACGGACGGCAGCTACTGGTGTCTCTGGTGGGGGACAGTCTACTGGAGGTGAGGGGGGCTACTGGGCCGAGGGTGTTTCAGTCTTACTTAGAAGATATACTCTGTCAGTCACTCTGGATAAGGTAGTGTCTGACTGTCTCGTGTATAGAAATTAAAAAGGGAGTGAATATCAGCGTGAGCAAGAGTGTGGGAGAAATTACAGTGAATTGAGAGAGCGATTCAAGTATCAAGGATGACAGATGTGGATTGACGTTTGCTTGCTTGAAACAGACAATTTTACTTAAAAAAAATTTGTATATATTAAAAAAGGTGTATTTTTTTAAATAAATTTCATTATTCTCTGTATGCTTACTTGGAATTCACCATGTTACTGTATTTGTCTGTTTCTACAGCCCTTCTGGCCCATGGGCACTGGTATAGCCCGGGGTTTCCTGGCAGCCATGGACTCAGGCTGGATGGTGAAGAGCTGGGCCCAGGGAAACAGCCCTCTGGACGTGCTGGCTGAAAGGTGAGGGAGCAGACGCGTCATAACACACACATTATACTCGCACGTCATACTTGCACGCACACACCCTCGACACACTGTTATCTCTGCGTGCTTTATCTCTGAGTGCTCCAGTGTCAGCCCCAGCCCCTACTTTAGTACTGTAGTTGGAATGGAATAAGAGCCTCTGGAGCTCTGAATGGAATGTGTTGAGTCCTCTGTTCTCCTGCCTTCTATAATTAAGTAACCATGGTTTCCTCTTTTTTAGGGAGAGCATATATCGCCTGCTGCCTCAGACAACGCCAGAGAACATCAGTAAAAATGTCAGTCACTACAGTGTGGATCCCACCACGCGCTACCCTAACATCAGCCTCCACTTCCTCAGGCCCAACCAGGTAGTGTATACTCTGAGATCATATGACTGTATGATTGTAGCATGATGAACTACAGTACCCATAATGCTCTGTGTATGATATCCAGTTTGAGTAGGGCAAGGACTTTGTCCTTACTACCTAACCATCTTGTGAATGAAAACCCAGTGTCTGCTTAACTAAAGACACACACACACACACAGACACACACACACGATACGATACGATATACTTCATTGTCCATTTCATTTTGTGACGTCAGCATTCAAATACACAAACACAACACAAAATATTACATGCAGTACGAAAAACTGGGAAGTTAGTATACAAGTCACACATTTACATTTTCACATATTCAAAGTCTCTGCGGCCTACAGTCTGACCGTGTGTTTGGCCTGCATCTGTCCTATGTCCCACTGTTCAGCAGCCTGATGGCTGATGGAAGGAAACTTGCCTTGTTCCTATTCTTACTGTACAGCGGGACCGTTAATCTCCTTCCGGAGGGCAGCAGCTCAAAACATAACTAAGAACCAGAGTTTTTTTCCCCAGTCCAGATGCATGGTCATGAAAAACTCCTATCAGTAGCTATGACCTATGGAAGATGTCCTATGTGAAATCCCACCCCACTCTGTTGTTGTCAGGTACGACACCTCATTGACACAGGGGATTCAAGCAGTGAAATGCGTATCGAAATGGAGAATGTAGTCAACTCGTCAACACCCAAGCTCACCAGAAATGGTGAGTAGTGTTTAGAATAAGCTATACGATTTTTCATAGCGTTGTCTATTCATACCAAGTTCATATTATTTAATTGTCATTCATGTCTGTTTTTCAATGTCTCTTGTTTTTGGGACCTGGTTGTTATTACGATCACCGAAATGTAACAATGAATTGCTTTCATCCTAGACCATTACCTGCTTGAGAAGCATTTCCAAGGTAATATCATTAATGACTGAGGTCCAAATGCATGACCATCTGAGGATTCCTTCATTATAGTCCTTAACAGTAGAAACAAGCAACTGCCATGACTCCATGTGACTTGGTGGATGTAGATGGATGGACTGATTTTATTTTATTTATTTTGTGTTCACTAACCTGGTCATTAACGGGATGGTGAAATATCACTTTCTTTGTCCGAAAAGTTAAAAAGGTCACTTCACTTAAATTGACAATGGGACTAACATGGATGGCAAATCAAAATCAAAGTTTATTGGTTGCGTACACATATTTGCAGATGTTATCGCAGGTGCAGCGAAATGCTTGTGTTTCTAGCTGCAACAGTGCAGTAATACCTAGCAATAATACAAATTAAAATACACACATAATCCAGAAAAATTAAGAAATTAAGAAATATCAGAATGAGCAATGTGTCACGCTCTGGCTCCAGGACTCTGTATGTTGAGCCAGGGTGTGTTCGTTTCTTTGTGTTCTGTTTCTTGGTTGGGTTGTTCTAGGTTGTTGTATTTCTTTGTTTGAGTGACTCCCAATCAGAGGTAACGAGTGTCAGCTGTTGGCTCGTTGTCTCTGATTGGGAGCCATATTTAAACTGTCTGTTTTCACCTTGTGTTTGTGGGTTTTTGTTCCTAGTCAGTCATTGTCACTGTGGACTTCACGAATCGTTATTTGTTTTGTTGTTTCGTGTTTCGCTTTAATTAAATAAAGCATCATGTTCGTGCAACACGCTGCGCTTTGGTCCGCTTCCTGTAACGACGATCGTGACACAATGTTAGAGACTGGAATATAAATATATATATATATATATATATATATATACATATAATTTATATAAATATATACGGTGTGTATATATATATATACAGTGGGGAAAAAAAGTATTTAGTCAACCACCAATTGTGCAACTTCTCCCACTTAAAAAGATGAGAGAGGCCTGTAATTTTTATCATAGGTACACGTCAACTATGACAGACAAAATGAGAAAAAAATATCAGGAAAATCACATTGTAGGATTTTTTATGAATTTATTTGCAAATTATGGTGGAAAATAAGTATTTGGTCAATAACAAAAGTTTCTCAATACTTTGTTATATACCCTTTGTTGGCAATGACACAGGTCAAAAGTCTTCACAAGGTTTTCACACACTGTTGCTGGTATTTTGGCCCATTCCTCCATGCAGATCTCCTCTAGAGCAGTGATGTTTTGGGGCTGTCGCTGGGCAACACGGACTTTCAACTCCCTCCAAAGATTTTCTATGGGGTTGAGATCTGGAGACTGGCTAGGCCACTCCAGGACCTTGAAATGCTTCTTACGAAGCCACTCCTTCGTTGCCCGGGCGGTGTGTTTGGGATCATTGTCATGCTGAAAGACCCAGCCACGTTTCATCTTCAATGCCCTTGCTGATGGAAGGAGGTTTTCACTCAAAATCTCACGATACATGGCCCCATTCATTCTTTCCTTTACACGGATCAGTCGTCCTGGTCCCTTTGCAGAAAAACAGCCCCAAAACATGATGTTTCCACCCCCATGCTTCACAGTAGGTATGGTGTTCTTTGGATGCAACTCAGCATTCTTTGTCCTCCAAACACGACGAGTTGAGTTTTTACCATCTGACCATATGACATTCTCCCAATCCTCTTCTGGATCATCCAAATGCACTCTAGCAAACTACAGACGGGCCGGGCATGTACTGGCTTAAGCAGGGGGACATGTCTGGCACTGCAGGATTTGAGTCCCTGGCGGCGTAGTGTGTTACTGATGGTAGGCTTTGTTACTTTGGTCCCAGCTCTCTGCAGGTCATTCACTAGGTCCCCCCGTGTGGTTCTGGGATTTTTGCTCACCGTTCTTGTGATCATTTTGACCCCACGGGGTGAGATCTTGCGTGGAGCCCCAGATCGAGGGAGATTATCAGTGGTCTTGTATGTCTTCCATTTCCTAAGAATTGCTCCCACAGTTGATTGCTTCAAACCAAGCTGCTTACCTATTGCAGAATCAGTCTTCCCAGCCTGGTGCAGGTCTACAATTTTGTTTCTGGTGTCCTTTGACAGCTCTTTGGTCTTGGCCATAGTGGAGTTTGGAGTGTGACTGTTTGAGGTTGTGGACAGGTGTCTTTTATACTGATAACAAGTTCAAACAGGTGCCATTAATACAGGTAACGAGTGGAGGACAGAGGAGCCTCTTAAAGAAGAAGTTACAGGTCTGTGAGAGCCAGAAATCTTGCTTGTTTGTAGGTGACCAAATACTTTTTTTCCACCATAATTTGCAAATAAATTCATAAAAAATCCTACAATGTGATTTTCTGGATTTTCTTTTCTCAATTTGTCTGTCATAGTTGACGTGTACCTATGATGAAAATTACAGGCCTCTCTCATCTTTTTAAGTGGGAGAACTTGCACAATTGGTGGCTGACTAAATACTTTTTTTCCCCACTGTATATATATATGTGTGTGTGTGTGTGTGTGTGTGTGTGTGTATATATATATATATATATATATATATATATATATATATATATATATATATATATATATACAGTTGAAACTCGTTTTTCAACCACTCCACAAATTTCTTGTTAACAAACTATAGTTTTGGCAAGTCGGTTAGGACATCTACTTTGTGCATGACACAAGTAATTTTTCCAACAATTGTTTACAGACAGATAATTTCACTTATAATTCACTGTATCACAATTCCAGTGTGTCAGAAGTTTACATACACTAAGTTGACTGTGCCTTTAAACAGCTTGGAAAATTCCAGAAAATGATGTCATGGCTTTAGAAGCTTCTGATAGGCTAATTGACATAATTTGAGTCAATTGGAGGTGTACCGGTGGATGTATTTCAAGGCCTACCTTCAAACTCAGTGCCGCTTTGCTTGACATCATGGGAAAATCGAAAGAAATCAAGACCTCAGAAAAAAATGGTAGACATCCACAAGTCTGGTTCATCCTTGGGAGCAATTTCCAAACGCCTGAAGGTACCACGTTTATCTGTACAAACAATAGTATGCAAGTATAAACACCATGGGACCACGCAGCCGTCATACCGCTCAGGAAAGAGACGTGTTCTGTCTCCTAGAGATGAACATACTTTGGTGTGAAAAGTGCAAATCAATCCCAGAACAACAGCAAAGGACCTTGTGAAGATGCTGGAGGAAACAGGTACAAAATTATCTATATCCACAGTAAAATGAGTCCTATATCGACATAACCTGAAAGGCCGCTCAGCAAGGAAGAAGCCACTGCTCCAAAACCCCCATTAAAAAAAGCCAGACTACAGTTTGCAACTGCACATGGGGACAAAGATCGTACTTTTTGGAGAAATGTCCTCTGGTCTGATGAAACAAAAATAGAACTGTTTGGCCATAATGACCATTGTTATGTTTGGAGGAAAAAGGGGGATGCTTGCAAGCCGAAGAACACCATCCCAACCGTGAAACACAGAGGTGGCAGCATCATGCTGTGGGGGTGCTTTGCTGCAGGAGGGACTGGTGCACTTCCCAAAATAGATGGCATCATGAGGAAGGAAAATTATGTGGATATATTGAAGCAACATCTCAAGACATCAGTCAGGAAGTTAAAGCTTGGTCGCAAATGGGTCTTCCAAATGGATTTGACCCCAAGCATACTTCCAAAGTTGTGGCAAAATGGCTTAAGGACAACAAAGTCAAGGTATTGGAGTGGCCATCACAAAGCCTTGACCTCAATCCTATAGAAAATGTATGGGCAGAACTGAAAAAGCGTTTGCGAGCAAGGAGGCCTACAAACCTGACTCAGTTACACCAGCTCTGTCAGGAGGAATGGGCCAAAATTCACCCAACTTATTGTGGGAAGCTTGTGGAAGGCTACCCGAAACGTTTGACCAAAGTTAAACAATTTAAAGGCAATGCTACCAAATACTAATTGAGTGTATGTAAACTTCTGACCCACTGGGAATGTGATGAAAGAAATAAAAGCTGAAATAAATCATTCTCTCTACTATTATTCTGACATTTCACATTCTTAAAATAGAGTGGTGATCCTAACTGACATAAGACAGGGAATTTTTACTAGGATTAAATGTCAGGAAATGTTAAAAACTGAGTTTAAATGTATTTGGCTAAGGTGTATGTAAACTTCCGTATGTGTATATATATATATATAATGGTGTGTAAAGACAGTATATGAATAGAAAAGGTGTGTACAGCAGTAGTTACAGTGAGGGGAAAAAAGTATTTGATCCCCTGCTGATTTTGTACGTTTGCCCACTGACAAAGACATGATCAGTCTATAATTTTAATGGTAGGTTTATTTGAACAGTGAGAGACAGAATAACAGCCAAAAAATCCAGAAAAACGGATGTCAAAAATGTTATAAATTGATTTGCAGTTAATGAGGGAAATAACTATTTGACCCCTCTGCAAAACATGACTTAGTACTTGGTGGCAAAACCCTTGTTGGCAATTACAGAGGTCAGACGTTTCTTGTAGTTGGCCACCAGGTTTGCACACATCTCAGGAGGGATTTTGTCCCACTCCTCTTTGCAGATCTTCTCCAAGTCATTAAGGTTTCGAGGCTGACGTTTGGAAACTCGAACCTTCAGCTCCCTCCACAGATTTTCTATGGGATTAAGGTCTGGAGACTTGCTAGGCCACTCCAGGACCTTAATGTGCCTCTTCTTGAGCCACTCCTTTGTTGCCTTGGCCGTGTGTTTTGGGTCATTGTCATGCTGGAATACCCATCCACGACCCATTTTCAATGCCCTGGCTGAGGGAAGGAGGTTCTCACCCAAGATTTGACGCTACATGGCCCCGTCCATCGTCCCTTTGATGCGGTGAAGTTGTCCTGTCCCCTTAGCAGAAAAACACCCCCAAAGCATAATGTTTCCACCTCCATGTTTGATGGTGGGGATGGTGTTCTTGGGGTCATAGGCAGCATTCCTCCTCCTCCAAACACGGCGAGTTGAGTTGATGCCAAAGAGCTCGATTTTGGTCTCATCTGACCACAACACTTTCACCCAGTTCTCATCTGAATCATTCAGATGTTCATTGGCAAACTTCAGACGGGCCTGTATATGTGCTTTCTTGAGCAGGGGGACCTTGCGGGCGCTGCAGGATTTCAGTCCTTCACGGCGTAGTGTGTTACCAATTGTTTTCTTGGTGACTATGGTCCCAGCTGCCTTGAGATCCTCCCGTGTAGTTCTGGGCTGATTCCTCACCGTTCTCTTGATCATTGCAACTCCACAAGGTGAGATCTTGCATGGAGCCCCAGGCCGAGGGAGACAGTTCTTCTGTGTTTCTTCCATTTGCGAATAATCGCACCAACTGTTGTCACCTTCTCACCAAGCTGCTTGGCGATGGTCTTGTAGCCCATTCCAGCCTTGTGTAGGTCTACAATCTTGTCCCTGACATCCTTGGAGAGCTCTTTGGTCTTGACCATGGTGGAGAGTTTGGAATCTGATTGATTGATTGCTTCTGTGGACAGGTGTCTTTTATACAGGTAACAAGCTGAGATTAGGAGCAAAATTCATAATGTCATTTAGAGCATTTATTTGCAGAAAATGATAACTGGTCAAAATAACTAAGATGCAGTGTTGTCAGACCTCGAATAAAGCAAAGAAAATAAGTTCATGTTCATTTTTAAACAACACAATAGTAATGTTTTAATTTAGGAAGAGTTCAGAATAACCCTGATTTTTCAATCACAGCTTTTATGCGTCTTGGCATGCTCTCCACCAGTCTTTCACATTGATGTTGGGTGACATTATGCCACTCCTGGCGCAGACATTCAAGCAGCTCGACTTTGTTTGATGGCTTGTGACCATCCATATTCCTGTTGATCACATTCCAGAAGTTTTCAATTGGGTTCAGGTCTGTAGATTGGGCTGGCCAAGACAGGGTCTTGATCTGGTGGTCCTCCATCCACACCTTGATTGACCTGGCTGTTTGGCATGGCACATTGTCCTGCTGGAAAAACCAATCCTCAGAGTTGGGGAACAATGTCAGAGCAAAAGGAAGCAAGTTTTCTTCCAGGACAACCTTGTACGTGGCTTGATTAATGCGTCCTTCACAAAGACAAATCTGCCCGATTCCAGCCTTGCTGAAGCACCCCCAGATCATCACCGATCCTCCACCAAATTTCACAGTGGGTGCGAGACACTGTGGCTTGTAGGCCTCTCCAGGTCTCCGTCTAACCATTAGATGACCAGGTGTTGGGCAAAGCTGAAAATTGGACTCATCAGAGAAGATGACCTTACTCCAGTCCTCTACGGTTCAATCCTTATGGTCTTTTGCAAACCTCAGCCTGGCTCTTCTTTGCTTCTCATTGATGAAGGGCTTTTTTATAGCTTTGCACGACTTCAGCCCTGCCCCTAGGAGCCTGTTTCGAACTGTCCTCGCCGGGCACTTCACCCCAGCTGCCGTTTGCCATTCTTTTTTTTTAGGTCACTTGATGTCATCCTACGGTTGTTGAGTGACATTCGAATGAGTTGGCGGTCATCCCGGTCAGTAGAAAGTCGTTTTCGCCCTCTGCCGGTCTGTAGCTTTGTTGTCTCCAATGTTTGCTGCTTGACCTTGTTCTTATGAACCGTCGTCTTTGACATTTTAAGGATGGAAGCAACCTGACGCTCACTGTATCCCTCTGCCAGTAAAGCCAGAATTGAACCCTTCTTTTCCTCACTCAAACCTTTCCTTTTCAACTCTTTTGGCATGGTCAATAGTTATTTTTTGATTAATATTACTTTTGAGGGACTATTAGCACTGTTTTTGCCATCCAGCTGGTCCTATTGCAACAGGATAGTGATGATCACAGCAGTGGTTTTTATACTTTTCCTCGCTAAATAAGATTTGGTTCATGTGATCACCTAATCAGTACCTAATTAAGTAGAATGAGGTGTGCCTGTGTTGGAATTCAACAGACATTGGAATGGAATGGCTGTCATACATGTAGATATGCTGATTTAAGAAAAAATTGCAGTGGTCTCTTAATTTTTTCCACAGCTGTACATATAAAGTGGGTAAAACAGTATGTAAACATTATTGAACTGACCAGTGTTCAATGACTGTATGAACACTCCAAAGAGCAAAACTTCTGACTGTTTGGTCTAAAACACCCTCAGCCCTGGTCCAAAAAATGTAATAATCCACTACTCACTGACTGTGCTTTTCCTTTCCCAGAGTCCATCGCTCGCTCCAGCAAGCTGCTGAACTGGTGTCAGAGACAGACGGAGGGTTACAGGAAAGTCAGTGTGATCGACCTCACCATGTCCTGGAAGAGTGGCATGGCCCTGTGTGCCCTCATCCACCGTTACAGACCTGACCTCATGTGAGTCATATATACAGTGTATATATGTGTGTGTGTGTGTGTATATATATATATATATGCATGTGTGTGTGTATATAAACACCAGTCTCAACGTCAACAGTGAAGAGGCGACTCCGGGATGCTGAACTTCTAGGCAGAGTTGCAAAGAAAAAGCCATATCTCAGACTGGCCAATAAAAAGAAAAGATGGGCAGTCTGAGATATGGCTTTTTCTTTGCAACTCTGCCTAGAAGGTCAGCATCCCGGAGTCGCCTCTTCACTGTTGACGTTGAGACTGGTGTTTTGCGGGTACTATTTAATGAAGCTGCCAGTTGAGGACCTGTGAGGCGTCTGTTTCTCAAACTAGACACTCTAATGTATTTGGCCTCTTGCTCAGTTGTGCACCCACTCCTCTTTCTATTCTGGTTAGAGCCTGTTTGCGCTGTTCTGTGAAGGGAGTAGTACACAGCGTTGTACGAGATCTTCAGTTTCTTCACAATTTCTCGCATGGAATAGCCTTCATTTCTCAGAACAAGAATAGACTGCAGAGTTTCAGAAGAAAGTTATTTGTTTCTGGCCATTTTGAGCCTGTAATTGAACCCACAATTGCTGATGCTCCAGATTCTCAACTAGTCTCAAGAAAGCCAGTTTTATTACTTCTTTAATCAGCACAACAGTTTTCAGCTGTGCTAACATAATTGCAAAAGTGTTTTCTAATGATCAATTAGCCTTTTTAAAATGATAAACTTGGATTAGCAAACACAACGTGCCATTGGAAAACAGGACTGATGGTTGCTGATAATGGGCCTCTGTACGCCTATGTAGATATTCCATAAAAAATCAGCCGTTTCCAGCTACGATAGCATTTACAACATTAACAATGTCTACACTTTATTTCTGATCAATTTGATGTTATTTTAATGGACCAAAAAATTGCTTTTCTTTCGAAAACAAGGACATTTCTAAGTGACCCCAAACTTTTGAACAGTAGTGTATATATGAACAGAACAAAAATATAAATGCAACATGTATGTAAAGTGTTGGTCCCGTGTTTCATGAGCTGAAATAAATATAATTTTTCTCCTTTGCCAAGATAATCCATCCACCTGACAGGTGTGGCATATCAATAAGCTGATTAAACAGCATGATCATTACACAGGTGCACCTTGTGCTGGGGACAATGAAAGGGGGGGCGGTGCTGAAGAGTATTTCTGTCTGTAATAAAGCGCTTTTGTGGGGAAAAACTCATTCTGATTGGCAGGGGCTGGCTCCCCAGTGAGTGGGCCTGGCTGCCAAGTTGGTGGGCCTATGCCCTCCAAGGCCTACCAATGGCTGCACCCCTGCTCAGTCATGTGAAATCCATAGATTAGGGCCTAATTTATTTATTTCAATTGACTGATTTCCTTATATGAACTGTAACTCAGTAAAATCTCTGAAATTGTTGCATGTTGCGTTTATATTTTTGTTCAGTATATATCTGTATTTCTCCTGTAGAAATGCTTACAGGTGAGGTTTACTGTCATAAGCGACTTTGGGTTCTTGAAAAGTGCTATATACAGTGGGGGAAAAAAGTATTTAGTCAGCCACCAATTGTGCAAGTTCTCCCACTTAAAAAGATGAGAGAGGCCTGTAATTTTCATCATAGGTACACGTCAAATATGACAGACAAAATGAGAAAAAAAATTCCAGAAAATCACATTGTAGGATTTTTTATGAATTTATTTGCAAATTATGGTGGAAAATAAGTATTTGGTCAATAACAAAAGTTTCTCAATACTTTGTTATATACCCTTTGTTGGCAATAACACAGGTCAAACGTTTTCTGTAAGTCTTCACAAGGTTTTCACACACTGTTGCTGGTATTTTGGCCCATTCCTCCATGCAGATCTCCTCTAGATTAGTGATGTTTTGGGGCTGTCGCTGGGCAACACGGACTTTCAACTCCCTCCAAAGATTTTCTATGGGGTTGAGATCTGGAGACTGGCTAGGCCACTCCAGGACCTTGAAATGCTTCTTACGAAGCTACTCCTTCGTTGCCCGGGCGGTGTGTTTGGGATCATTGTCATGCTGAAAGACCCAGCCACGTTTCATCTTCAATGCCCTTGCTGATGGAAGGAGGTTTTCACTCAAAATCTCACGATACATGGCCCCATTCATTCTTTCCTTTACACGGATCAGTCGTCCTGGTCCCTTTGCAGAAAAACAGCCCCAAAGCATGATGTTTCCACCCCCATGCTTCACAGTAGGTATGGGGTTCTTTGGATGCAACTCAGCATTCTTTGTCCTCCAAACACGACGAGTTGAGTTTTTACCAAAAAGTTATATTTTGGTTTCATCTGACCATATGACATTCTCCCAATCCTCTTCTGGATCATCCAAATGCACTCTAGCAAACTTCAGACGGGCCTGGACATGTACTAGCTTAAGCAGGGTGACACGTCTGGCACTGCAGGATTTGAGTCCCTGGCGGCGTAGTGTGTTACTGATGGTAGGCTTTGTTACTTTGGTCCCAGCTCTCTGCAGGTCATTCACTAGGTCCCCCCGTGTGGTTCTGGGATATTTGCTCACCGTTCTTGTGATCATTTTGACCCCACGGGGTGAGACCTTGCGTGGAGACCCAGATCGAGGGAGATTATCAGTGGTCTTGTATGTCTTCCATTTCCTAATAATTGCTCCCACCGTTGATTTCTTCAAACCAAGCTGCTTACCTATTGCAGATTCAGTCTTCCCAGCCTGGTGCAGGTCTACAATTTTGTTTCTGGTGTCCTTTGACAGCTCTTTGGTCTTGGCCATAGTGGAGTTTGGAGTGTGACTGTTTGAGGTTGTGTACGGGTGTCTTTTATACTGATAACAAGTTCAAACAGGTGCCATTAATACAGGTAACGAGTGGAGGACAGAGGAGCCTCTTAAAGAAGAAGTTACAGGTCTGTGAGAGCCAGAAATCTTGCTTGTTTGTAGGTGACCAAATACTTTTTTTCCACCATAATTTGCAAATAAATTCATTACAAATCCTACAATGTGATTTTCTGGATTTTTATTCCTCATTTTGTCTGTCATAGTTGACGTGTATCTATGATGAAAATTACAGGCCTCTCTCATCTTTTTAAGTGGGAGAACTTGCACAATTGGTGGCTGACTAAATACTTTTTTTCCCCACTGTAAGTCCCTTTAAAAAAAGTATTATTATTATTATAAGCATAGGAATAAAGTAGGACCTGCACACATGATTGCTCCATCACAAAATTAGGCTAGTAAATATTAATTAGGCTAGTAAATATTCATCAGGCTAGTCAATATGCACACGGTTTTGATCTTTGTCAGGTCCTTACACACACACAGCAGAGACAGACACATTGCCTAACGAAGGGAGAGATTGGGTCGTTACCCTCTGCTGGCTACACAGCGATTAGCATTATAACCCTGACTGACCTTTACCAAATAGTTCTGTTCTGCCCTGCTGCCTTTCATAGTCCAGATGATTGCATCAGGGGTGTGTGAAAAGGCTGCATTGATGGGAAATATGCACTAAGTGCAGGGCACAGACAGCACTAATTAGTTCACTGACTTCCCGCACTGCTAACAGTATGGTGCTAATGCACTAACACTAACCATTCAAGGAAAGGGGGTGGTGTGCTAACGTCAACCTTTGCATCCACTGCATTAGAACCTGCTTAGTGTGCTTGTCATGTTTGTGATGTTAACATTCACAGTGCTACTGGTTGTTTTGACTGTCATTTTGACTCCCAGCCATTCTGTCCCTCTCTGCCCCAAAGTGACTTTGACTCCCTGGACGAACAAGACCAACAGAAGAACAACCAGTTGGGCTTCGACGTGGCCGAGCGGGAGTTTGGCATCTCGCCCTGCATGACGGGCAAGGAGATGTCCCAGGTGTCAGAGCCCGACAAGCTCTCCATGGTCATGTACCTCAGCCAGTTCTACGAGATGTTCAAGGACACAGTCCCCCCTGGGGCCGGAGGTGAGTACTGCTCACCTTTGGTTGGTTTCATAAATATCATTTTTATTCGGGGGGGGGGGGGGGGGGGGGGGGGTAGTGGTGAAGATTGATTGAAATGTTATACACACTGAGTAATTGGTTATATACATTATGCACCAAACAGACCAGAAACAGGGAGGGACTACCTGAACTCGTCCAATGGGAAATGCTTGTAATTTTTCATTGCAAAACCTTAATGGATACAACCCTGGTTTAACGCCTTACATTTTCTATATTTTCTATTTCCAGATAACCAAAACATGAGCCCTGAGGAGAAGGCTGCGTTAATCAACAGCACCAAGTCTCCCATCTCCTTCCTTAGCAAGCTGGGCCAGAGCATCGCCATATCCCGCAAACGCAACCCCAAGGTCAGGACCTCCAATACATCATTGTTAGCTCAGCAGTCCCATTCCCTTTCGCACTGTGTTTTACTGTGTTACAACTGTGTTTAACGTCATGTTATAATGCTACTGTATGAGTCAATAGCTGTCTGCCCGAAAAAAACAGTGACAACAGGTGATTATGTGATCAACAGGACAAAAAGGAGAAGGATGTGGATGGTTTGGGGAAGAGGAGGAAGACTAGCCAGGCTGGCCATTCTGAAGACGTGAGTAAAACTTTCAAGGGTTCAAAATATAATTCAGACGTTGAACTCTGCGTTGCAGACGGATAGAAACGGTCTCTCAGGTCAAACTCATTCTCTGGTGTCATACTGTCCATGTGTTTGTAACAGGAGGAGGTTTCGAGGGGTAACCGTGATGACAGGCCGTCCAACAGTACTGCTCTAACGGAGAGGAATATGAAGGAAGAGACAGCGGCTGTAGGGAACCACAACAAAGTCAAGTCCATGGCCACCCAGCTCCTCGCCAAGTTTGAGGAGAATGCTCCTGCAGAGTCCAAGGACCTCAAACGACAGGTATGGAGAAACTCATTATGTCTAGGTGGTGTTAACAATGGGAGAAGGAGTAGTCTTGCTTGCCCGGATGTGGGAAGAGACTAGAGATGGAGTAAATGTTTTAAACATGAGAACTGTTGGTTGGGATTTAGCTTTCCTGGATGATAATGACATGACGACAGCTTTGTTTGCACACAGTGTTTTGTTTGTCTAGACAGAGTAAATATGCAGACGTTAGATGTAGATCTATTTCATCTCATGGTGTCTAACAGGACTCCTAGTCTCGTGATGCTGAATGTATAGCAACACTGTACTACTGTATTAATGTTTTGAACTCCATTTAGCAGATGCTTTTATCCAAAGCAACATACAGTCACGTGTGGATAGATTGTTTTAAGTATAGATGGTCCCAGGAATCCAACCCACTATCCTGGTGTTGCAAGAGCCATGCTCTACCAACTGAGCTACAGAGGACCTGATCCTAGGTCAGCACTCCTACTCTGAGATGCTTTGTGAATACGGGCCCGAAATGCTAATATTGATGTGGCCCGGGCCTGACGGCGTACTGTTCTGTGGTACAGTAGGTGGTCTAATAGTGGTGACTGGCTGACTCCTCCAGGACTAGGGGGTGAAATGGGTTTACAGACCCAGCCCACGACCTGATCCTGGGACAGTCACCCTGAGAGCCAGTACTGCAGGCCTGGAGCAGTGGGAGGTCTATGTGGGCTAGTGGAACACAAGCCACTATTGTTGACATAGAAAGACAACTCACAGGCAGCGTTCCCAAGTGGTGCCATTCCAAAATTCCTGCTCGGGCTGTGTGTTTTGCAGTTGTTACATCTGATACCATCTTTGATACACAAAAGACTCGGTTCATGTAAATTGAATTGATGAAACCTTAGAAGTGAATAGCCTGCCTCAGGTCAAGTGCTGTGCTGAGTAAACAGGCTTTGTGCAGAACACTAGAAGCGTTTCTCTCTTGGTCACCGTTTTTTTCTCTTGGTCACAGATTTGTACAATCTGAAATATGATTGGTTAATCAATGTTGAGTCGTCATCTATCCTAATGGTATAATAACCAGCTACAAATGCCCGTCAAAGAGGATGTACAGGTTGGTTTATAGGAGCTAAGCCCTACTTATGTTGAGTCCCACTGGTGGTAATATTCAATTTGATTCTGCTGCTGCTGTGTTGAATTGGGACTGTGTGTCGCACCAGAAAGGCTGAAAGTGGAGTGTGTCTGCGTGCGTGCCTGCGTCTTTCCAACCAGGAGGCTTCTCTTTTTCATCCCTTCTTTGACCCTTCTGCTCTCTGCATGAAATGCTGATAATGTCTTTGCTACAGTGTCCATATTCTTTTTCTTAAGTTTATAGTCAATTAAAAGCCTAAAATAGTTCCAGTTGGTACAATAATAACGCATGTCATATTGTACAGATGTAGGATTTTAATTTGCTACAGTAGGAAAAGAATCCTGGAGCAACAGGAAATTGAAATTATTATGTGGATTATAATTAATGGACATGTTTGCAGGGGTTGATACATTTTTAATTACAGCATGTCAAGTCTGAAATTTAAAAGTGGAAATTACAAACTTTAGAAGCCTTTTTAAAACTTAAATACACTACAAGTTTGCATTTCCTGCTTTGCAGGAAAATTCTCAGCAACAAAACAGTGATCAAATTAACATCCTACATTTGTAGTCACATTACATTACACAGCATGCTATTCTTATGACACACACAATTTCCTTTGGGTTTTTGCTCCCAGTTTGTTTTCCAACCAGCATGACTCTGTGTTCTCATGATTCACTTCCCTCTATTTTTCTCTCTTCTTCCTCTCCTCCCATCATGGATCATGACCTTGACTCATGGTTGGTTGCGCTCACTGTGTCCTGGTCTCTTTTTGGCCACTTTGACTGTCACTCATCTTCCAGTGGTCAAAGGGGGATTCTCTGCCCAATCTGGATCTCCTCGTGGCGCTGCCCCCTCCCCCTGCACCCCTGGACCCCCCCAGGGAGCCTGTCCGCCTAGCTCTGGTCCCTGCATGGAGACAGGTAAAGAGTGGACATCTCACCTCCCTCCCCTAGACCCTAGTCTAACCCCTGGATGTCCCTAACCAACCGTCTCTCTGCTGTGTTTTACAGTAGTATACAGTATAAAGCTGCTTTGTGTCCAGATTGTAGCTGATTAACTCTTATTGATCCTAGACATAGCATGTCTTATTTTCTGTGGAGTGACGAAACCAGTAGTTCCAATTTAAAGGTCTCTCGCTCTCCTCCAAGACCTAAGGATCAGATAGTTGTCGGGATGTCGTGTGTGTGTTGCCAGAATAAGCAGCTGTGTGTGGGTGCTGTTCGTCCCAGACAGTGAGTGACGTGATGTCATGTTCTCTCTTGTCTCGTGTGGCGTACCCCTCTCCTTTTCCCTATCACTATCCCTCTCCCTCTTCCACCCCTGCAATGTTGTCTCAGAAACAAACCCAACAGCAGGAGCAGCTCAGCTTCGGCTATAAGGAGAAGTTCAAGTGTCAGACCCTACCCAACAGAGGGGAGCAGGTACGACTGGCCGGTCTGACGCTGTAGTAGTCCCTGCCTACTAGGCTGTCTCCCCTCTCCAGCTAACCAGTTAACCATGCTATCAGAGCTAGCTACTAGCTAGCTAATATCCCCTACTTTGATAAACAAACAGGCTATCGCTTCAGCTTAGCTCTGTTAGCTTCATTGTGCTAATCATCAAAGTTTTAGCTTAGCTTAGTTCGCTTAAGTGCGCTAATCATCAAAGCTTCTTTCTTTGTTTTTTTGTTTAGTTCTTTTTAAATCAAAGATGCAAAGTCTTAACAGTTTGAGCCACTAAGTGAAATGGCTAGTTCAGAGCTGTGCTTGATTGACCCCTGAAAGCTAATCCGCAGTTGAGCTAATTGGTTGGAAATAGTCTGCCGTGAAAAAAATTAATGTTCAGTGGAAATATTAGCTAATGCCGTTAAGACATTAGCATCTAGACCAGGGCTCTCCAGCCCTGTTCCTGGAGAGCTACCCTCCTGTAGGTTTTAATTCCAGCCCTGTTCCTGGAGAGCTACCATCCTGAAGGTTTTCAGTCCAACCCTAATCTACCACACCACATTCTAATAATTAGCTGGTTGATGAACTGAATCAGGTTAGTTATAACGGGTTGGAGCGAAAACCTACAGGAGGGTAGGTAGCTCTCCAGGAACAGGGTTGGAGAGTCCTGATCTAGACTGAGTGGACAGTGAGAATTCTCCAGTACATTTACATTACATTTTCATTTACTTTTTCGTCATTTAGCAGACGCTCTTATCCAGAGCGACTT